ATGCGGGGCTCGATCCCAGGACCCTGGGATCATGACCTGAGCCGAAGGCAGACGCTTAACGACTGAGCCACCCAGGCGCCCCATGTTGTTGTATTTTAAAAACACTGGCTCTCAGGTATCCAGAATTATATTCCTTATGTTCCTTAGGTTTATAACACATTCTCAGCACTGGCTCATATACTGGCTCAAACATTGTTCACCCACACAAAGATTCAGATTTTTGTCTTCTCTTAAGAAATTGAGAGATCGGGACACCTAGGTGGCTCAGTCGGTTAAGCATCTGCCTTCGGCTCAGGTCATGATCCCAGGGTCCTGGGATCAAGTACCGCATCAGGCTCCCTGCTCAGTGGGGATCCTGCTTCTCCCTCTGCCTGCCGCTCCCCCTGCTTGTGCTCTCTCTCTCTCTCTCTGTCTCTCTGACAAAGAAAGGAAGGAAGGAAGAAAGAAGGAAATTGACGGATCTTTCAACATGGATCTATTTCACTACATGGTAACCATTAGTGGCTACTCGGAGTGCTGTCCCTGTTCATACCAATCTCTATTGTCTCCTGACCAAGAGGCTTCATGTTAGTTTGTGTGTATCACTGGGCTTGAACTGCTGTTCTAATAAAGTGGAGAGTGAGCTATTATATTGTGTCCACTTCACGCATTTATGTTACCTACCTGGCAAGTGTCAGCATGTGAGTTTGAGAACCCCACTCCGTGGCATCCTTAGTAACAGCTACCATTCACTGAGCCCTTATTACATGCGAAGTCCTGAACTAACAGTTTTTCATACATTATCTTTTTAATTCCTATAAAACCTTATGAGATGAGCTGTTATCATCATTTTACAAGTGCGGAAGCTGAAGCTCAAAGATCTAAGTAATGCCCACGATTATAAAACTTCTAACCGATGACACTGAGATTCAAACCTTGGCCTGCCTAGGTCCAAAGCTGGGACTTCTAAACTTTGTATTACACTGCTTCCCTAACCAATAACCTGGTAACAGTAGAATTACTGCCTCCATGCAGTGTTTACTGCTCATACTCAGTCCATGGAGGGCAAACCCCAGGAAGAGGGCTGAGTACTGCCCTGCCCTCGCCATGGCCCTTGGCAGACACCCACTGTGTGCCAGGGTCAGACTGAGCTATTGCTTTGTTGGCTCTGAGAGCTACAGCTCGGCTGGAGAGGGAGGATGGGAGGTGCTGGGGTCACTGTGACTCGGGCAGCAGCCCATTCATCACTGGCCCTGGTTTTGTGTGTGTGTGGCCAGGCTATGCCAGCGCTGTCCCAGGGCTGTCCCAGAGCTCCTATAAAGGGGCTCGAGCCCTAGCCTCGCCGCTCTCAGACCTCTGAGATGGGCAGGTTGTTGCTGTGGATTGGTGAGTGTGGCAGGTCCCGGCCCCCATGACGTCACTCAGTCCAGGAGATACCAGGCTTCCTACGTTTGTCACCTCTCGAGGGCCTGAGAAGCAGCCAGGGATTTGGGGGCTGGATTAGGTGGAGGGGGACAGGACATAGTGAAGGGCCAGAGGGGCCCCGGCAGGAGAGATCTGAGCAGTGGTCCTCCACTCCAGCTATCCATTAAATATCTTTATGCCCAGTTCCATCTTGGACCAGTGATATCAGAATCTCTAGGGGAGGAGAACATCACTGCTTTTTATACTTGGAGCCAGGGTGAGAACCACTGGCCTAGAGCTTTGGCTGGGACTTCTAAGTCATCCTTGTCCCTGTGCTAAGCATGGGTGTATCCACGTGGTGTTTGTTGGGGTAAATAGGAGCTTCGATAGATCTGGCAACACTGGCTCAACTTAGAGAAGAGGAAGCCAGTGAATGCAGCGAGTCTCCATGTGTGTGTCTGTGTCTGACTATGGGGCCCAGTTGGTGGGTGCACTGGAGGACTGGAGGCGGGGCTGGGGCATGTTGCTCTGGGTGAGCATGGGAATCTGAGTGTGATTCCATCCTTTGTTTCCTGCAGGGCTGGTTCTTGTGCTGAAACAGCGCGATGGTAAGGAAATCCTGTCTTCCTCTCCAGATCCAGGGAGCTTCTCTGGCTGAGAGGTGCTTCGTGTGGTGTGTCCCCTGGAGCCCTTCCCTGCCCGGGCTCCTGTGTCCAGCATCATTGATCCGCTGCAGTTCAGCGGAGGATTTTCCGTCCCGCCACTTGTGTCGCTTTGTGTGCCAGGATCCAGGCTTGAGGATCCATTCTGAACAGGATTCCATAAGGCATTCTTTTCCCCCTGGGGCCTCAGCAGTAGGGGTGGCAGGGGGACCAGACCTCAGGGTCGCTTTGGGCTCTGTTTGCATGGGGAATGTTCTGGTGGCCCAGCCTCTTGGACTGTGTTCATGGTGCTCTGTGGAAGCCGAGCTCCATCCCCTCCTTTGGTCTCTGCCAGCTAATGTGTGTCCTCCCTTGCCAGGCGCTGCCCACAAACTGGTGTGTTATTTTACCAGCTGGGCACAGGGTCGCCCCAGCCCTGCCTCCATCTTGCCCCGGGACCTGGACCCCTTTCTCTGCACCCACCTGATATTTGCCTTTGCCTCAATGAATAACAATCAGATTGTTGCTAAGGATCCCCAGGATGAGAAAATTATCTACCCAGAGTTCAACAAGCTCAAGCAGAGGTGTGTTCATATTGCATGTGGGGATCATTTTTTTTTTTTTCAGGTTTTACAGACAGAAGAAAATTAATCCTCTTTCTCTTGTTACTCATCAACTTTCTTCTGATTCTTCTGGTCCTAGCCGCCTCTCAAGTGGGACCCAGGAGCATCCCTGCCTGAGAACTCCCTGTTGAATAACACCCCGAGCTAATTCTTGCCTCCTTGCCCTTGTGAGGCCTTTGTTGCCTCTGCCTGGTAACCCCCAACTCATCCTTCAAGCCAGTGGGGTGGAGTTCACGTACTAATGCTGTTAGAATGCTTCAAGGAGAGCCTGCACATCACAAATGCTACTATCTTTATTACCATTTGTCACCTGCAACTCCCAGCCAATGAGCCCCCTAAGGGAAGGAGCAGGGTCTCCAATATGTTTGTATACCAGCAGCTGGGTGAGTGCCTTGCACAGAGCTAGTGCTCACTAAGTGCTTGCTTAAGTATGCCTATCCCCACAACTCCTGGGTTCTCTCCCTGTCCAAGGGGAGGTCTGTCTCTGCGTGAATGGTTATAGATGGCCAAGGTAAAAATCCTTGTCACTAGATCACAAGCTTCCTGAGAGCAGGGAGCTTGTCTCTTTCACTCTCTGTTGTATCTTGATCAAGCACCTAAAGCAATCAACCGCACATAGTAATTGCTCAATAAATACTTGTCGATTAAGAAAACAGTGAAAAGAAACATTTTAGACTACTTCTTTCTTTTCCTTTATGTGGGAGCGTCATGGGGATGTGGGGGAGTTTTGTGGACTTTGGGCAGCCTGGGGGGGGGTCCTGGGTTGTGAAGACCCATGGGTTGATTGTTCTCCCCTCTTTTCCTTTCTTTTCTTCCCTGTGCTTTGCTCTGCTCTTCTCTCTCCCTCCCTCCACCTGCCTTCCCCTTTCACTTCCTCCCTCCCCCTCTACTTTCCACCATTCCCCAGGGACCCACTGGAGTGGGGCCCCAGCTTACCTCCCTCTATCCCACATCACAGGAACAGGGAGCTGAGAACACTGCTGTCCATTGGTGGGTGGAACTTTGGCACATCCAGGTGAGACTCTGCAGCCCCTCCCTGCTGCTTGAATTCCCCATCACCGCCAGGTATTTAGCTCCCAGTGCTGGGAGGGACTTCTAAGAAGGGTTGACCTAACTTCCTTTCCCCCAGCCATACCTGTGTGCCCTCCACAGGGCACGAACCAAGGGGCTTTGTGGAGGTTGTGGTTCTGCAGAAAGCCCTCCTTCCTCGCCTCACCCTGGGTCTCCTGCAGATTCACCACTATGCTGTCCACATTATCCAACCGGGAAAGGTTTATTGGTTCGGTTGTATCCCTCCTGAGGAGACATAAGTTTGATGGTCTGGACCTCTTCTTCTTGTACCCTGGACTGAGAGGCAGCCCCAAGAGTGACCGGTGGACTTTTCTCCTCTTAATTGAAGTAAGGCCAAGTCTGGCAGCTCCAGGATCCAGCAGTGATTCTACTTTTATCATATCTGGGCTCATGGCATAGGAGGAGCAGAAGGCCAGGGATGGGGACGGGGCAGGGGAGTGGTAGCAGAATGTTCTTTTACTACCATCATCTTAGAAGGGTCAGGCCAAAGAGCAGGAGGAGTCTTGTGGCTCTTTTTCTTGGTCACATCCAGGTCCTGTTCCAGTCCTGCAGCCTAAGTAATGCTTCCTCTGTGCAGCGGCCTGGCCCACCTCAGGCAGGCAGTCTGCAGCTTGTGCTCCTGACCCTGCCTGGCACCCCTCTACCCCTCTGTTAAGTCACTTACCACGGTGGCTCAAGGCCACCTCTCTCACGAGCCTGGGGGCAGGGCCTGTGTCTGCCTCACCTCTGTGTCCCCAGAGCCTGGCTCAGGGGGCTCTGTAAATAAAGCTTTCCTGGCTGATCCTTCCTTTCCCTGACTGTTTGGTCTGGGTCTCTGTGTCTGCCTCTTTCTTGGTAGGAGCTCCTGTTTGCCTTCCAGCAGGAGGCCACGCTCACCATGCGTCCGCGGTTGCTGCTTTCTGCGGCTGTCTCTGGGGATCCGCACATCATCCAAACAGCTTATGATGTGCGCCTTCTGGGAAGGTGAGATGGTGCTGCCTGGTGGGGCAGGACGTTGGAGGGAAGGAGGCCGGTCATGCTCAGAACGGCAGCACCGCTCAAGCCCCGCCCTTGAGTTCTCCACGTACAGGTGCTAGTTGGGGGCAGGCCGCTGAGGGGCATGGGTGGGGACGCAGGTTAACTCCACATAGCCTGGGCTTTCTTTAGGAGATCAGAAGTGGTGTCCCCACAATCACGTCGTCTTGGGTAGGGCGTTCTGCAAAGCCCTTTGCTGGGGCTCACGGGAAAGTGTCCCACGGGCCTGGACTCTGCCGTGCCAAGGGACAGCGGTAGACATACCCTGTGCGGCCCATGGCTGGCATCAGAGGCAGATGATTAATCAACGCCTGCCACAAATACAAAAATAGGCACGCGCAGCCAGGCCTAGCTTTCCGAGCACGGGTGTCTGTGCAGAACTTACAAAGCCGAACAAAGAATAGCTCGTAACTCACTCTTTCTGGCCATGCCAGCTCTGGGCTAATTTTCTCCAACCTCAAGAATGGAGTGTTTACAGATGAGGAGCTGAGGCCGACGCGGAACGGAAGAGGGGATGGGGTGCTTCTGCGTGTGATCACACCAGGGGGCCGGGGTTCAGTGTCGGGGCGGAAGGGGAGAGGCCCCGTGGGGCATAGAGTTTGCCAGCTTTGGTCTTAATAGCAGGCAGGACTGAGGGAGTCCCACCATCCGCCGGCTGGGTGACCTTAGGCAGGTTAGGGAGCCTGTCAGAGCCTCAATGTCTTCCGCTCTAAAATGGAGACGGCTGTGGCACTGAGGCCATTGGCCACGTTAAAATTAAATGATGGAATCCTTGTACACCTTTACGCCTGTGACCCGGTAAGTGCTTACTGACACTGGTTCATTCTGAAAGTGCTCTGGAAGACGTGGTTTCACTGGTGCCTTGAATAGTGGAAGGACAGAAGCTCTTTAGCTGCTGTGAGTACCGCCTTCCTCATGACAATTTACGCAACCTGTTAGCACTTGCGTCAGGCACGAATGTGTTTCTTTTTTAAAATTATTTTAGAAAGTTGTATGTATTTATTTGAGAGAGAGAGAGTGCGAGCGTGAGCACGAGCAGGGGGATGGGGCAGAGGGAGAAAAGCAGACTCCCCGATGTGGGCCCTGATCCCAGGACCCCAAGATCATGACCTGAGCCGAAGACAGATGCTCAACCGGCTGAGCCACCCAGGCGCCCTACGAATGTGTTTTCTTGTCTGACTCCTGCCTACCTCCATGGAAGCTCTCAGGATGGCATGGGACCTGAGGCATGGCTGTCCCTGACTAGCAGTTTGCTGCGGTGGCACATCTCAAGTCGATGACGCAGACGGGCAGGCAGCTTGGGTGACCAGGGCACAGCTAGTTAGCCAGTTAGTCCTCTGGTGATCTGACTTGAAAATCTAGTTAGCCGAATCTGCATATGTCCTCCTCTCGCCCTCACAGACTCCTGGATTTCATCAACGTCTTGTCTTATGACTTTCATGGAAGTTGGGAAAAGTTCACAGGGCACAATAGCCCCCTGTTCTCTCTGTCTGGAGACCCCAGCTCTTCGGTAAGGAATGATCTCAAGGGGCCCAGACACCTGCCCTGAGCCCAGGCCATTGGCCCTCAGTAACACGGAGGGGTTTGTGTTCTTCCTACCTGCAGGCATATGCCATGAATTACTGGCGTAAACTGGGGGCACCCCCAGAGAAGCTCCTCATGGGATTCCCCACCTACGGACGTACATTTCGCCTTCTGAAAGCCTCTAAGAATGGACTGCAGGCCAAAGCTGTGGGACCTGCGTCTCCGGGAAAGTACACCAAGCAAGCTGGCTTCTTGGCTTATTATGAGGTGACAGGAATAGGGAAGTCTGTCTATTAGTTAGGGCTTCTCCATCCTTTAACAGAGCAAGAGCAAAGACAACCCAGGCAGAGGCAAGGGTGAGGGCTGGAGACAGGACAATGAAGTGGTTTACTAGCTCAGGAGAAATCCACTCTCTGAGATATTTCCTTTTTCTTCAGGAGAAGGTATTTGAGTCCCTCATAAGGGATGAGGGGCTGGGTAGAGTCTAAGTGGAGGGGGACCCCTCAAAAGAATCTTAACTGTTATACAAGTCAATCCTGACTTACTACTATCTGGCCTAAATAAAAATAATTAATACCTGAAATATTTATAATTTCAAACATTTGCAAAAATGAAAGAATAGTGTAACCTCCTCTCCCCCTCCCCCACTACCACCTGCCCCTCACCAGCCTCAGTCACTAACCACTCCTGGCCAATCTTGTTTCATCTTCGCTCCCCGACTCCCCTCTCTCCCACTACAAGATTATTATTTTTTTTTAAAGATTTTATTTATTTATTTGAGAGAGAGAATGAGAGACAGAGAGCATGAGAGGGAGGAGGGTCAGAGGGAGAAACAGACCCCCTGCCGAGCAGGGAGCCCGATGCGGGACTCGATCCCGGGACTCCAGGATCATGACCTGGGCCGAAGGCAGTCGCTTAACCAACTGAGCCACCCAGGCGCCCTACTAGATTATTTTGAAGCAATTCCAAGACATTCCCTCCTACAGATTCTTTCTTCTTCCCCCAGTTCCATTCCCTTATTCTCCATCTCATCAAAGCTCGCTACTGAATGGAGAAAAGAGACACGGACTCAAGAGGATATAAAACACAAGAGAGGACAATAAGAGGCATGGGGGTGTGGTTTAGGGATCTGGAAAGGTCTCAGGGAGCAGAGCTTTGGAGCACAGGAAGAATCCTGATGGGCAGGAATGACAAGAGGGAAGGGTCTCGAAGGCAAAGGACAGCAGTTACTGAGGCACATGGTGTGTGTGGGTGCTGTAGGTAGGAGTGGAGGCGCAGGGTCTCCCCAGTCTCTGCTCTCTGCTGGCTGGCTGGAGATGTTATCCTGCTAAGCCAGTGACGTCATAGTGGAAATTATGTTCTTGAAAGACATTATAGGCCAAAGAGATGTTGATAGAACCTTTAAAGAAGCAAAAAGAGGAAGAAAGGAAAGAAAAAAAGCCTCATACATGAGCTTCTGCTACTAGCTGGAATGCTTCGACTTCTATGTGGCGTGTGGTTTCTAGCACGAGGCTGGGCACCTAGTAGACACTCAGCTGCTCGACTGATTGTAACAACCCAGTTCTCCCTACCTTTGAGAACTTTAAATTTATTAGAGGTTCACAAGCTAGTTTGGTAACTACCAAGACTGGGCCCTTCATGCTGATTGCTAATGAAGAGAGGAGAGGTTTGTTTATGGTAACTCTTTGGAAAAGATACATGTTTGGTCAAGGTCAGATAGGTTACCGTTAGTAGTTTGGCATTGTCATTATTTAGCAAAGCCTGGTTTGGTTTCTAAGGATGTCAGCCACTCCTTGGTTCTCTCTCTCTTTCTATCACGGACATTAGAGAAAGGAACATGTTCTAGTAGGAATTTGTTCAGGAAAGAGAGAAGGTCTTCTGTGAGTGGCTTCCCACTCCCTCTTTGGTCTGTCTCTTCTCACTCCCTGGTGAGGGATCCTTTGGATTCTTCACCACTGGGAAAAGAGCAGTGTGCCTGCTGGTGTTTCTCTCCATGGCACTTCCCAGAACTAATCTGGTGATCCTCCTGGCAGATATGCTCCTTTCTCCAGAGAGCAACAAAGCGCTGGATTGATTTTCAGCATGTTCCATATGCCTACAAGGGGAAGGAGTGGGTTGGCTATGATGATGCCACCAGCTTCAATTACAAGGTAAGACTTTGGTCCTTTCTTGCTCCAGCATATAGTTTCCTTCTGGCTCCCATGAGGCTCTTATCTGTACAGTGTGTGTGTGTGTGTGTGTGTGTACGTGTGCATGCATGTGTGTGCGTGTCCTGGGTGGAGGATAAAAAGGTGAGGTTGACTAGATCAGGTGAGTCTCGGGCATACCTGACCTACCTGGGGTTTCCTAATCGCATCTATCCAACACTCTCCTTTTGAAGAGAAGGAATCTCGGTTTTGAGGGGAGAAGTGACTTCTCTCAGTTTACACAGATTTTTGGCAAGTTTCTTCTTTTCTGTTTGGACCAGATAATTCCATAACAGATAAATACAATATGAGGTAGATCATGTTAAACGCTCCATGAATATCACTGATATGTGTCGGGATAGGAGAGTCAGGGAGGGCTTCCTGAGGGAGGTGAGCAGCAGGAGGAAGTAATGACATGGGGAGAGGTTCAGTGGGGACTGAAAATTCATTCAAAGTACGTACAAAGAATTTGGGTGGGGCAGAGAATTTTTGTAAAGTGTAAGAGAAGGCAATAAAGTGCCAACCAGTTTATAGAGGGACTTGAATGCTGGTGAAGGTGTTTGGCCCTCTTCTTGCAGGCATTTTAACACAAAATCAGGTTTCTTTCTTTCTTTTTTTTTCTAATTTTATTTTATTATGTTATGTTAGTCGCCATACAATACATCATTAGTTTTTGATATGGTGATCCACGATTCATTGTTTTCGTATAACACCCAGTGCTCCATGCAGAACGTGCCCTCTTTAATACCCATCACCAGGCTAACTCATCCCCCCACCCCCCTCCCCTCTAGAACCCTCAGTTTGTTTCTCAGAGTCCATAGTCTCTCATGGTTCGTCTCCCCCTCCGAGTCCCCCCCTTCATTTTTCCCTTCCTTCTCCTAATGTCCTCCATGCTATTCCTTATGTTCCACAAATAAGTGATGATAATTGACTTTCTCTGCTTGACTTATTTACTTAGCATAATCTCCTCCAGTCCCATCCATGTTGATGTAAAAGTTGGGTATTCATCCTTTCTGATGGCTGAGTAATATTCCATTGTATATATATACCACATCTTCTTTATCCATTCATCTGTTGAAGGGCATCTTGGCTCTTTTCAGTTTGGATATTGCAGACTTTGCTGCTATATTCAGAACATTCCACCCTAAAACAACAGAATACTCATTCTTCTCAAGTGCACATGGAACTTTCTCCAGAATAGACCACATACTGGGTCACAAATCAGGTCTCAACTGATACCAAAAGATTGAGATTATTCCCTGCATATTCTCAGACCATAATGCTTTAAAACTGGAACTCAATCACAAGAAAAAATTTGTCAGAAATTCAAACACTTGGAAGCAAAATCAGGTTTCTGACCAGGCATATGACCTGCAAGTTTGAAACCTTTAGAACCTAACTCTGATCACCCCCTCGCCCTGTGCAAGCAATGTTGAATGAAGGTGAGCAGAGCCGGTTTCTATAGTGAATTCCAACAGAAATGACATGCTTTGGTGATTTCCAAACCTGCCTCTGCTTTGGAATCACCTGAGACTTGATAAACGTAGAAGGTCTTGGCTCCACCCCCGAATATTCAGCCCGTCTTAGAAAGAATCTGGAAACTGTTCTTAGTATGGCCCCATGTGATCCTGTTGTAACCAGTTTGGCATTTTGGAAGCTCTGAGGAACACAGAGGTGTGCAGGGAAGATAATGAGGGTCTGGACCAGGTGGTTGGAAGAAGAGGTAATTTTTGAATGAGTAATTGTCAGGACTTGGCAACTTCCTGGATATCGGGGCTTATTAGAAGTCACATCTCCTCTATTATAGGTGATGGAGAAGCACAGGTGTTGGCTGTTCTTTGGGGGAAGTTTGGGGTAGAAAGCACCAGAGGGCAGAGTCCAGTGTGTACCTCCTCCGTGCATGTCACTGAGTGAAGCCCGCTGTGGGGAGAGAGGTAAAGAGCATGGCTTTCAGCCTCCAGGATCTTCCTCTGGTTTGGGACCAGAAGACACAAACAGAAAAATTCAATGACTCAATGGAATTACCCAGTTGGATGGAATTAAAAATATGACCCACAGGACACGGGAGAGGGCATTGACCTACGTGTTGGGGGAGGCCTGAGGCCAGCCAGGAATGGTGTCCTCGCTTTAAGGGGCCATCACTGTGCCTTGCAGAGCTACAGGGAGACAGAGCCCTGTGTGAGGGTGATCAAAGGATTTCATCACAGAATCCCAGAGCTGAAAGAAACCTCAGAGATCGTCATTAGGAGATAATTATCCATGGATTTCTCAGTGTTCCTGCACTGTCTGGGCATTCTGAGCAAAGGAAGCAGACCAGCTCTAATAAAAATAGGAACCTGCCTTTCCCCCTCCCCCAGGACTTTGCTGACGTTCAGAGATGTAGAGGTCCCCTCCCCAGAGAGGACTTGTCTACATTCCAGTGAAGCTCTCAATCTCTCCGGAGGGGACGAGGGTCTGATTTGCCTTCCTGCACATGCAGGTGGCTATCTGGCCTTCGCTGTGTCATTCTTTGGGCAACTGGGGCATGGGGACTAAAGTCAAGGTGCTATTTGACTGTTCTGTTGCTGTGAGTAATAGTGGTCTGTTCTCTGATCCAGAGATTGTGCATGTGCGTGCACGCGTACACATAAAACTGGCAGTCTAACCTGTTTGTTTGTAAGCAGGATAAAAACTCGGAATCTTCACAGTTTCAGCTGAACTCTAATTGGGTCCCTATTTTACATTTGGGGAAAGCAAATCCCAGAAAGGAGCCAACTGACTTGGCCAAGTCATGCAGCTATGTGGATGTGATGGAGTCTGTCTTTTCCATCACCCGTGACAGAGAACACTAGGAAAGTAGTAATAGGACCTGGATTTGAGTCTAAACCCTGCCACGTCATTATATCTGAGGTTTTAGAAATCATGGAAAAAAGCCTTTATTTTCTTATCTGTGAATGTAGTTTATCTCTTCTTTATAGCATCCCTGTGAGATAAGTTATATGGAAGTGATTTTAAAGTAATATAGCAATATCTATGATTTAGAGTGATGATAACGGTGATTAGCACTGGGATCTTGCTGAAACAGTTTTTAATATTTATGAACATTTACTAGGTGCAAGTTATCTCTCCAAGTATTTTACAGGTAGGAACTCTTTTTTTTTTTTTAAATCCAGTTTTAAAGTTGTGGCAAAATATACATAACATAAAATCTGTCATTTAACACATTTTTAGGCATCCAGTTCAGTAGCGCATTCATATCATCGTGTAACTATACCACCTTGCATCTCCAGAACTTTCTCATCTTCCCAGACTGCCCCTTCCCCCTCTTCCCCAGCCCATGGTAATCACCACTCTGCTTTCCTTTTATACAAATGTGACTACTCCAAGTACTCCCTGTGAGTGGAATCATACAGTAGTTGTCCTTTCGTGACTGGCTTCTTTCACTCAGTGTAATGTCTTCGAGCTCCATCCGTGCTGTAGCATGTACATGTACGAATTCTTTGGACCCTAAAAATGTTGGAAATGTTACTATTCCTTTTTTACAAATGAGGCAACTAAGACACATAAGGTTTTGTTGTTATAGTTGTTTTTAAAGATTTTATTTATTTATTTGAGAAAGAGAGAGCAGGAGAGAGAGAGAGAGCTCTCACAAGCAGGGGGGAGGGGCAGAGGGAGAGGGAGAAGCCAAGCAGGGAGCCCGATGCAGGGCTCAATCCCGGGACCCTGGGATCATAACCTGAGCCGAAGGCAGATGCTTAACCGACTGACCCACCCAGGCACCCAAAGACACATGAGGTTTGTGTGACCTTTTCAAGAACCCTCAGCTAGGAAGTGGTTAGAGGCTGGATTCAAACACAGGCTTTCCTGCTCCTGTAGTGTTTCCTGAGGGTCTGTCTTTGGTGTTTTGTCATTGTACCCAGTCTGGGGGATGCCCAGCATAGCAGGTTGACTGACTACTACTTTTTCAGGCAATGTTCATAAAGAGAGAGCATTTTGGGGGAGCCATGGTGTGGACGTTGGACCTGGATGACGCCAAGGGCGCTTTCTGTGGCACTGGCCCTTTCCCCCTTGTCAAGAAGTTGAATAGTCTCCTGGTGCAGACTGGTGAGTAGCTATGGCCTGGAACTGGGGTTGGAAGTTGTATAACCAGGCTCTGGCTGGGTCCCTTCTGTTAGATGCGAAGGCTTTGGTGAGGCAGCATGACATCAAGGGAAGAGAATAAGCTTTGATGTCAGGCCAGTCCATTTTCTTAGTTTAGAGGCGTGCTCCATGTGACCCCTCTGAGCTTTGGTTTCCCTATCTGTGAAACAGGAATGATCCTTATACTTATGACATTATTACAAGAACTAAATGAGATAAGGAGTGAAAACTACTGGCTCATAGACTGGCTCATAGTTAGTGTTCAATATATGCCAGTTTATTTCTCTGTTGCTTCCTCCTGTTTTCATGGGACAAGGGCCAGAAAAGGAAGCCAGATTTCTTTTGACATCTCTTTGATGTTTAGGAGATGGAACCTAGCATGCTTGAACTGAAACATTCTTTGAGATGGTTTATAACCATCATTTTACAGACCAAGAAACTGAGGCTCAGAAAGCTAACACTGCTAGGCAGGGGCAGAGATGGGACTCCAACCCAGTTCTTTACAAAATGCTGTCTAGAGTGGCCTCCTTGCCCCTTGGCGTTGTTCCTGGTGCCTCCTACAATGGGGGACACAGGAGGTTTCTGTTATTAGGCCTTGGGGACAGCAAGGTCTTGCTGAATGTGCAATCAGTGAGGTCAAAGTGAGGCCTTAAGCATAGAAAACTGGCAGGCTTCCCAGGGTCATTCACCAGAAATGTAGTAAATGTAAATGTGCTGAGTGCCCATAGGTGTCTGGGGTCCCGTTAACGTGATGAAGTGAAGGAGCAGGGCTTCCATGCAGTGGGGTTTTATCTATGCCCTCAAGTGGGTGTATTATGAAATCCTTCAACTCTGGATTTTGGGAGTAGGTACTTCAGCCCTGGAGTGGTTGTAGTCCTGCCAGTAATTAATAGGATGGGAAGGAAGTCGTAGGAGTCTCATCCTGTTCCAATGATTTTCTCTAGAGGTCAGCTCAACTCCTTCACCAAAATTTTGGCTCTCAACTGCTATGAATTCTGAAAGACCAACTATAACCAAAGCGTTGACCACTGACATGAGGATTTCATTCCCAGGAGGAAAGTCTCCGACCATTAATTCCCGTAGTAAGTCTCAAAATATGACTACAAGGCCCAGAGGTGGGATTGTGACCCCTATGAGGGAAACTAAGTCCTTTGGAAAGCCCACTGTAGCTCTGGAAGGGAGGACTGAGACTCTTGGAGAGACCATGACCCATGGAGAGACGACTATGATTCCTAATGATCATTGGACCTCTAAAGGGAAGATCATGCCCCTTGGAAAGAGGGCTGTAGTCCCTGAAATGATGACTGTCCCCTCTGGAAAGATGACAGTCACTCCTGATGGGCAGACCAAGACTCTAGAAGAGAATTTGACTTCTGAGGTGGACACTGATCCCCTGTTGGATTATATTGTTCTTCAGATGGAAGCTGAAAGCAGGAGGCCATCCTCAGGGCCTGTCATCTAGCCCCAGGACACATTCCTCCTGCTTTTGACAACCCCTGTGTTCCCATTAATGGAAATGATTCCTCTGTCAACTCGATGACCCTTCCAATAAGCGCTCTTTCTCTAAAAAAAGAAAACCCAGAAAATTCTGCTGTGGGTCAAGGAGCCTAAGCTCTGTTGAAGGCAGAAGCTGGGGAAAGCCCTCGTCTTTTCTTATAGGCCCCTGACAGGAGCTGCTTTTACCTAGACATTTATAAACCATTCATAAACCATTCATGGGTACAAGCAGGCCCCAAAGCCAGTGAAATCATCTTTTCTGTTGAATAAACTGGAAACACAAGAATTCATCTGAGTTCTCTGGAGTTCTTTTCTTGAAATGACCTGTGCAATGCAATTGTCAGCATCTGCCTTTCAAGTTCACTTTCCCCTACTGCTTTTTTTGGAAGGAGGGAGTTTGTGTCTAGCCTGTGTCGACGTTTTCCAATGTGGATTATGTGTTTCCCTCTCTGCCTTGCACAACTACTCCCCTCACGGGTGGTCTGAGACAGAATCTCTTCCAGCACAGTTTCCCATTCTCCTTTTATTTCACTCCAGTGTAACATTTGCTCCCATGAATATATCAGAACTCCTCTTGCCAAGGTCACTGGTGATGCCCATGCTGTTCACTGCAGTGGCCAAGTGTCAGTTCCAACCTTCCTTGAGACAGCAGCCGCACTGACACACTTGGTCACTTTGTCCTCCTTGACACACTTTCTTCACGGTGCTTCCAGCTTTTGTTTTTACCTGACTGGTCATTCCTTCTCAGTGTTCTATGCTGATTTCTCCTTTCATTCGTGATCGCTTAATGCCGGGGAGCTCCAAGTCTCTTCTCTGGGTCTCTTTTCTTCTATATTTATGTTTACACTCTTGGTGTTGTCATCCAAACACATCACTTAAACAGTAGCTCTAATATTGTCAAGAGAACAAAAGCACAAAAGAATATCTATAGTATGCTATCTTTTGCATAAGAAAAAAGGGGACAGAAAATACACGTGTCTGCTCATTTGTGCACGAGTACTACAGAGAGGATAAATATGGAAATAATGAGATTGGTACCTGTAGGAGTTGAGTGAAGTTGGGGTGGAAAAAATGGGAGACTGGGGACAGGGTACCAGGGAAGGAGGGATTGATACTTACCTGAGTACTCATATGTGTGTAATTCTGACTTTTAGAACCATGAAAATGCTTCACATGACCCACAAAATAAATAAAATCAATTCAAAATTGAAATACAAAGAGTAACAAATGTGGGCGCCTGGGTGACTCAGTTGGTTAAGCGACTGCCTTCGGCTCAGGTCATGATCCCAGGGTCCTGG